GTTTTATTCTCTGGGCTGTTCGATTTGGGCTGAATTTTTATGTGTCAACAATTACCCCCCAATATGGCAGAATTAATAATAACTATTGAATTTTGCCATATTCACTTCACGTCTTCAGCAACGTTCACGATCCCTAAAGAATTTTAATCATTGTCTCCTTCTATAACTTGAAAAGGTGCGTCGCTTTGCAAACCCTTATAAACTCCGAACACGCCATTTTACTGCTACGAAATCACGTTTCATATTTCTTACGCATCCTTCGCGATTCACTGTTCATATTTTGCTTCCTTGTTACGTAACTCTGAAAAGCTTCGTTCCTTCTTCAATGACTGCTTTACAATCCCAAGCTAGCGATTCCTTTAGTTTTGACGACTTTCAGGAACTTCTGAGTCGTTCATACGTAACCCCAAGTTTTCTTGCGCCCGCTGATGTTGGACGTAATGAGTTTTACTTGGGTCCTTTCTTCAACAATGCGGAAGCAATCGATCAGGCGGCGGTGGGCCAGCTGTTTCCTTGCACCCATGGCCCTCCTTTTCTGAATTCTTTGCCGCTGGGGCCACTTCGTGAAAAATGTATTCGCACTTGGCCCAAATCTGACGTAGCTTTTCGTAGGTGGCATGCTCGTCTTGTGGGTCATGGTCCTACTAAGGCACTTTTTGATAGCGCTAGGATTTCTGATTTGTTGGAAATCTCTATTTGCCCTCCTACTTTTGATTCAGCGCTCTTTCCGATTGCTTTGAGCTTTTGGTCCTCTGAGTATAACACCTTTATTTTTCCTCTTGGCCCCATGTCTATTACGTTAAGGGATGTTGGGGCTCTGGTAAATTTACCACCTTTGGGTGATACCGTTTTCCCAGGCATCTTAGTTTCTGGTGGCGCCCCTCAGTTCGGTAAAAACTATACCGATTCTTATTCAAGCCTGCAGACACTGCACAATCACTCGAGTGCTGAACCTACTCATGCTGAACGAGTGGCCTTCCTTTTACTCTGGCTTTGTAAATATGTGTTGTGCGTGCCTAGTATAAAGCCCTCTTTGAGTTATCTACCTATAGCGCATGAACTGGCGCGTGGCAGGTCTTTGAATTTATGTTCTTTGTTTTTGGCTGCCCTTTATAGAGGTATGGCTTTTCTTCAGGCTCAATTGAAGAATGGTGCATCTCCTACTGGCAGTGGACCTCTTTGGTTCACTCAGCTGTGGTTGAGATCCTATTTTCCATCGCTTGGTGCCCCATCCATTTCTTGTCCTTCTGCTAGTTGTTACGGGCTAGCTATGGAGCCTTTAACTCCCGTAAGTATGTCCAAAAGGGACATTTTTTTATTCTTTTATTCTTTAAATTCAATCTCTTCCTTCTTTCCTTTCCCTTCTTTTTTGACTCCGAACTATGTGCATCCTCCTTCCACTCTAGATAGCGCGAGCACTTCTCTGCTCATTTGGATTCAGTTCTTAACTGGGAGGGAGCTTTTCCACGATATCTTAACCGTGACCAATGCCAAAGCTGGGGTAGAAATTTATGTTCCCCAATTTTTTGCTCGGCAGCTTGGTTTCGGCCAAACTTGGCCTGCTCCTCTTTGCTATTCGAAGAACTTAAACGACCGCTTTCATACCATTAATAAGGTGGAAGCAGAGGCTATAAACGTTCGCACCTCCACTTATCAAGCCATTTTTCATTAGCCCCTTTTAATCCTTGTCATGCTACTCATCCTCTTTTCGAACAACTTTGGCCATCGGTGAAGCGCAGATTATTTGCGACTGAGGCCAACCGTGCCTTTCATTCATTAGATCAACCGAGCATTTCTTCTCCTCCTCCTGTTTTGGCCCCTCCTTTGTCTATTCGGAACCCTTCTCCTTCTCGTCGTACTAAACAATCTGCTCGTCCATCTTCTTCCCTCCCTGCCAAGCCAACTATGGCCAAGAGTGTTCCAAGCCGCAAACGGCCAG